GAGGGGATAATGAAATGCTGTAATGAAAGCACTATATTAGAATTCCCCATTACAGGACGCGCTCTTGAGCTGAAGTTATGCTTGTGCTCACTGTACTGTAGCCATTATCATGCTAAACAGTCTATCTTAAGGAACAGACATCTGCAATTACCGTCCTCTATTGCGGGCCGCTGGGCTTCTGTTGTGCCTCTTGCAAATCCGTGGGGCATGACATCTCCTCGTGACTGACAGGACTGGAAAGCGAGTTCTGCTTACCGGGGAATTCTTGACGCAGAGTGGTTCTGTGGACCACTGTCTCATTAACGTCTCTCTTGCGTGGGAAGTGGCTGTCATTTTCACAAGTTTTTAATTTTTTTCTAACCAGCTACTTTTCGTTTATATGTTTGTTTGTTTGAAAGTTACTAAGTTTTATTAACTATTACTTAAAGCAGTATTTCTCAAAGCAGACCTTGGGGACACCTAGACGGTCCATGTTTTTGCTATCTCCCAATTCATTGGGAGTTGGGAGGGAGCAAAAATGTAGACTGTCTGATGGGCTCCTAGGACTGGTTTGAGAAACACAGACTTTAAGCACGGAGTTCGTTTTAACTGGGGGTGTTTTCATGCATTCCTGTTTATGTGCATGTTTGCATGCAGGAAATTCGCTATATATGCACGCTTGCATGCTTGGATGTGTAATAATAGGCCCGCTCATTTCGCATGCGCATGTCAGTGCCTCTGTGTGGTCACATGTGATTGTCATGCCGCCTCGGTGTGCACGATGCTCACCTTTCTGGACTGACCTCAGAATGACCTTTGTGTCTATCCAATTTGCATGAGGCTCTCAAATTACTCTGTTATGGGAGCTGGTAGACTGCACAGTCTGTATCCTGAAGATACGCAGAGTGGAAGCAGAGCCACTTCACGATACCCTGTAACAGGGACCAGTACAGTTAATTACAGCGCAATTTAATAAATTACTGTCTGCTAATCAAATCAGCCATTTCCCCACCATTTATAGTCTTATGCAGGAACACGACTTTTTTGCTCAGCTACAGCATGTCGGATTATTACATAATTTGCTGTTCATGTTAAATACTCCTGCTGGGTTGCTGGTTATATTACTGGCGCTGTAAGCGGTTGGTTCTGGGTTCTAATCCCCAGAGGATGCATGACCATCTCTGAGACGGGTGCTTCATTGGAACTGCGTTTTTTTTGTAATAGGATGGAGGTGAGAAAAATGAAGGAGGAAATGTTATATATAAAAACATCAGCCACCAGCTAGGATGAAGCCGCAAGAGTCGACTGCGGAAATGTCACGCGGACATAATCTGTCGGCCGGCCTTGGGCAAACGGCTTGTATGGCGAGACAGAGATGGGAACATATTAGGCAAAAAAAGATAGAGAGCGTCCATTTTCCCCCAAAGCTACCAGTATTTCTCTCCCCCTCTCCCTGAGGACAACAAGCTGTTGGATCCAGTGGCATTCAGACGTGATTAAATTACCTTGGTCCCTTCGCCTTTTTTATTACAGAGATAGGTAACTTTTGCTGACAGGGGATAAAACTGAATTCTTAGTGGTTTTCAGGCAAAATGGAGAGCAGTGATCGCCATGACCTTTAGCAGAACTCGCTGGCGGTGGATGAGGGCCTGCAAAATCGATGCAATAAAGCACAAGGCAGGGTAACACATTAGCAGCCTGCGTGACTGTCGCCATAGCCAGCCATCGCTCCGGGAATGTTGCGCGGGATGGGAAATCAGACACGACTGTGCCGCGGTCAGCGAGGGAGGGTGACATTCCTTCCCACAAACTCCCAAACCTCCGTAGTTTCTTTCCCAGCAGCCCTGGGGACTGGCATTAAATTTCGCTACAGAGCCCCCAGTTCCCCATCTGAGCATGATATTTGTCCCCATAATCTTTGCATCATCAGCTGGTCTGGTTGCTTACCATTGTCTGAGGATTCCATGTTATATAAATTCAAATATATTATGCATGTATATATATATTTTTCATAACAACAATCAGTATACAGTATTTCTTATTGTATTTCACAATTTTCCAGAAGTATTTCAAATTCAACCTCGGGGGTTGGGAACCACCGTGGACCAAGGACCCTGCTGTACCCATCTGAATGACATCCATTTATTAGTTTTGTTCAAATACTTTCCCCAGGTTTATTTTTCTCAGTGTGTTCTTTGGAAGCTGAGCCATACAATCACATGACCTCAGACAGAAAGTGGAAGGCACTCAAATAAAAGCGAGGTTCTGCGGGATAGGGTGACCCGAGGGGCTTGTTCCGTTCACAGAGCATCAGCTAAGAAGACTACAGCCTTTTGGGAAAAGCTGACGCGCATCTCCGCCGCAGCTGTGTCCAAATTGCTGTATAGCGTGCTGATCCTAGTGTCAGCCATTTTGTAGTGGTGTCCGCATTCTCAGCGGAAAAATTACCCCCATTTAGTCCGTCCGACATACCTCGCAAAGTGTAGCGTGTAATCGGTCTACCCGGAAAACGGAATCCTGTAATGCATCACGCTTGGGTTAGTGGAGTCGACGTGTTCGCCGGAAAGCTGCTCGCCCTAGGATTGCTCCCGGGAACAGTTACACAGCTGCACAGCTCTAACAGTACAAGTTTAAGTGTAACGGTTCCATTTGTCCCAGACGTCTCACTGGGTCTTCATGTGAGTGTCCGGTAGCATACAGTCCTTCTGGGGCTAGCAGTATATCTTCTGAGGACAACCACAAACCCCAGAGTAACATCATTTTTGCATGTTACAGCTTGATGTCTAGAAAAAAAATCTCTGCTTTCATCCATGCCTGTTGTTTACAGTAGCATTCTGAGAGTGAGAAGCAAAGTAATAATAGACAATAATTTCACAAGTGTATGCAATGGCTATTCAGACTGCTGGTATAGTGTTCAGTGATAGTCTTAATAGTCTCAAATTGGGATTTTGGATAAGAATTTAATCTGCTATTCGGTGCTATATTCAGAAGTGAATGAGTGAATGGGACATTTAAGAGGCAAAGGGAAGTAATCCTTTTTCCACCTCGTTATATTTATTAATGTACCTTTGATAATTTATCTATAGCGAATTAATGTGTTGATTATAATACTTCATAAGCTGCAATGAAGCTCTTGTATGTAATGCACTATTGAGACCTTCATAATGCTGTATACTGGTTGATATAATAATTATGGAATCCTTGTATTGCATTATGAAGGTATCTATAACTCATTATAGACGAGAGCTTCATAAAGCATTAAAAATGCATAAAAACATGCATATAATGTGTTATGAGCTTTTAATAAATATTTATAGCCATGTTTGGTAATGTTTTACATTAACTGCACCTTCATAATGCTTTTATATTGCATTTCTAAAACGTTCTATGCACCTTGTTAATGTATTCATTAAGTATTCATAAAACATTTATAAACATCATGTATGTATACCTTAACACCCTAACATCCCTTAACAGCTGTAATATACATTAATAACGAACATTATACAACAATAACGAACATTATAATTGTATAATCATGTAATATTTGTTATTAATATGTATTAAAGGTGTTGAGAGATGTTAGGATGTTAAGGTGTACAGTACTTGCATGCTGCTTATGAATGTTCTATGAATGCTTTATGAAAGCGCACTGAATGTTCAATGAATGCATTATGAAGGTGCACCTAATGTAAAGCGTTACCCCATGTTTATAATGTTTTATGAATACATTGTAATTACAGTATAAACATGGAATTCATAGAAAGCAAATAGTATTCAGCATCTTTCGGAAGGATTCAAGATTCAAGATTCAAGATCTTTATTTGTCACATGTGTAGTCATACAAGTACAACAACACAGTGAAATGTACCCTGAGCCGCTCCTTGACCGTGCAAACATTAACAAAAGTAAAAATAAGTCAAAATAAGTAAAGAAATGAGTGCAATAGAATAAGTATAACTGTATAAATGTAAGGGCAGTGCATAGTTTTAAAGTGCATTGTGCTATAATAGCACCGCAATATAAAAACAGTGTGCATATAAAGTCCTGTTTCAATTAAGTAATGCTATGAGGGGAGTGGGGGCATGGTCTGATTTAGGACTCGGATGGCCTGAGGATAGAAGCTTCTCTTGAGTCTTTCTGTTTTGGGTGATTAGGCTCCCTCCTGAGTCTGACAAATGGCCAATTTCTTAACCGTCACACTGCCTGCCTGTTCCGACTGCTGCCATTCCAGCACCAGGAAGTTAGTGTGCAGTTAGCTGTGGAAGCCTACAGTATGCTACCTGCCAAACGCAGCCAGAAAGGGCGGCCCATCATGTTCAATAGCCAGGCCACTATACATGCTCTGAAGTACATTTTTTAACACTCACAAATTTTATACTTTGGAATTTTGTACATGGTCGGTTTGCTCGTAGGAGTCTTACTTGCAGAAAAATATTCTGAGGGCAGAACAAGAAATGATTGGTTCAGAGAGATAACCAATCAGACTGTAGAAGAGGTGGGTCCAAGCACCTAGAGGAGGTAGGCCCAACACATCTGATTGGATGATCCTGCCTCCTCTAATTGTTTGGACCCACCTCTTCTACAATCTGATTGGTCATCTCTATGAACTGGTCATTTTCCCTTTTGCCCTCAGAACACTTTTGTGTAAGTGAAACTCTCATGAACGGCCTAATTTTACTCTCAAATAATTGCATTTCTTAAATAGCAATGTGCAGAGGGAAATCCAACCAGACATTTAAAAGTCAGAAAATATATATGAAGAGGCATAGGCAGGAAGTAAGAAAATTAGTAGTTTGTTCTGAGCAGTTGCTCTGTTGTCCACTATTGATTAAAATTATATTGTCATTTAATGCAGCTTCTATGAGGACCATCCATTTTCTACGCAAAAATGGAGGGGGCCCTTATTTACTAGAAGGGTGGGGTGTTACTATTGTTCTTATCAGTTCTTATCAGTCCCACATTGCATTTTGGCCATCGGCTACGGGGATGAAACGCCAATGAAGAATGTTGTGTTTCAGCTCACGGAAGCAGAATGGGACGACCTCCTGGAGCAGTTCGAGGAGAAGAGCTACCTCAGCGTGCGCCGATGGAAGCCAGGTCACGACCCCTACAAGCTGTACGCCTTCAACCAGCGTGAAAGCGAGCGCATCCCCAGCAATCGCGGCCTGAGAGACACCCGCCATTACAGGTACGGGGGTAGCGGGGCCTCGGGGGTGACGGGGGGGGCATTGTCTGTGGGCAGCTGTCTCCGCGCTTTTTCCTGTTCTCTTTATGCGTGTGTGGGTCTGTGTGTGTGGGTGTGTGTCTATGTGTGAGAAGGAGAGAGAGAGAGAGAGATACCAGGTGTACATTGTATTGTGGAGACTAAATGTCCCCACAATGTAATAAAAACCTGATGTTTTTACGTTGTGGGGACCATTTTTTCGGTCCTCACAAAAGGGAAGCTGAATTTGATTAAAATATGTGACTACAATCAAAAAACTAAAAATGGCAAAATTTTTATGGTTAATATTAGGGCTGGGTAGGGGTTACGGTTGTGATTGTCGGGGTTTGGGTTTTTCCCACAGAAATGAATGGGCAGCCTCCACAGAGATATGAATATAAACTTGTGTGTGTGTGTGTGGGGGGGGGGGGGGGTCTTGGTGTGAGTGGGTAGGAGAGAGTTTGTGTGTGTGTGTGTCACTCTNTCTCTGCCTAACATCCTGCTCACGTGTGACAGTCTATGCACACGCAGGTGTCTTTTTTTAAGTAGGATGCGTAGTGGGGGGGCGGAGGATAAATCTGTATTTGTGTTTTGCGTGCTGTGAGAGAAGGAGAAATAAATCAGCGTTGGTACGCTGGCGGGCAGGTGGGCGAGGCCGGGGCGTGAGTGCGCGCAACGCCGCGCGTTTTGGCAAATGAATTTCCCTCCGCCTAAATGGCCCACATTATGCAAGCTCACATTCAGGCTGTCAGATCCAGCTTCCTTTGCGCTGAAGGATGGCTTGTTTCTCCACATTGTTCACTGTGTTTCCTAAAGAGGGGGGTATGCTTTTTAACAGATGACAGTGGGCTTATCTGCTGTGGGGGTGTTGCAGCCACCACGGGCTGCGTCGAGGGAGATAATTGCCTGGTGCGGCCCGGTTTGCCTGGGCCACCCCTTTCCATTTTCTCATTAACTCCGTTTTATTCCGATGCCCTCAATTAGGCCGCGCTCCTCTGCGTCTTGAGGCGGAAACACCGACCACCGCGTCGCCCCGAGATGCAGTGGAGGGCTCGCCCCGTAGCGGATGAGTCGGCGCCAAGATGCATTTCTCCGTAAACACTGATTCGGCACACTGACCCGGCGCCAAGTGAGAAACAAGTTCACGCAGGGGTTGAGGTTGCAGATGCGCCTTGCGTCTAAGGGACAAGCAGAAATACATCATGGCAACGATGGAAGACCACGGGGCGGGGGGGGCGGGGGGGGAGGATGCTGGGAGAGGCAGACGCGTGAGGGCAAGAAGCCACCAGAAGGAGCTCACCATGAGCACTCAGCGAAAACATCCATCATAAGAAGAAAGCAAACACATCCTTCTGCCTTCCATGTGGAGGCAAGTCTCTCAATGAAAACACAAGTTTTTGATGAGGCAGTCTACAAATCACAAGTTAATTAGTCAAGTGATTCAGCCCTATGGCATCCTGGGATGATGATATGCAGGAAGATGGCGGCCATTTATGTTGACGACCACTCTCTGGCCCTAAGTTGGCGAATACTTGAGTCATTGGTTTTCCGCTCCTGTTCCGACAATCCAGAAATACCAAGCTCTGTCTTGAGTTCCTCCTGCCCTATTTGGGTGTCAGCGTTCCTGTGTCCATCAGATGGGATCCTGTCCAATGCTTCTGCTAATCTGCTGGATAGCACAAGCCCCTGGGAGAATGCACTGCTTTCATCCATTCTTATATTCCATGCCATTGCTCTTGTGTAACCGACTGTTCTACAACAAAGCGTCGACACGAGCAGGAGTTTGGGGTGGGATTTGCGGCATTCCAGCTCCCGTGTCTCTGAAACCGGGCAGAAAAAGCTCAACCACCGAGTCCTTGTGGTGGAAACTCCAGCGGGAAGATGGGCCGCTGGAATGTAGCAGCACAGTATGTTCTGGCAGCTTTGGAAGCAAGGGTGCTCATTCGGGCCGTCAAGCCTTCATTTACGTCTTGTGCAGAAAAAATCCTCCTGAGTTTCAGTCAATTGCCTAAGTAACGAGTTTTTGGGATGTTGTCCGTTGTATTTCCTGGAGGTTTTTTTTTTTTATTTTCAGGACCAAATCTCTTGCGGTAAGATAACACATTTTAACAGTTACGATGGTCTGAAATGCTTCAGAAACGTAATGCTGAAAAAAAACGTGAAGAAAAAGCCACAGGGATAATTATAGTGGAGAAAACAGTTAGTTTTATCACTTTGTTAATTAGTTAGTTTTTTTCAAGCACAACCTAATGCCAGCTTATTGTGAAGGGGATAAACATCAGCCCAGGCCACCTGAGCTCCTCAGCCAAAAGATCTCAATTCTGATTCTGAATTCTAGATCTCAGACTGCCATCCACAGGTATGAAGCCAAGTATCACTGAGAGCAAATTTCTGAAACTCACTCAGTTCACGGGATACGTTATGGAGAAAAGTTCTGTGGACTTGGTGAGTCTTGGAAATTTAACGCAGGCTCTTCATCGGATTACATTTCGGTTCCCATGCTGATATGATGAGGAGGCCTGACTTTAGGCCATTGGCAGCCTCATCTCAAAACCAACAAAGAGGGACTGAGTGAGTTTTGGAAGTTTGCCCTTCAATTCTAAGTTCAGAATTCTACAAGTCAGACTGCCATCCAGTCTGCACCATGTTTCAACTCAGATATAATTCTTTTTGGAGAGGCAATGCCATTTGTCAAACCACACTTTCTATAGGGCTGACACATAACAGTAGACAAACAAATCTGATACATAATTGAACAGTAGGAACTCTAGGTGTAAATCTGGGGTGTTTGAGGACCCTTTTTGCTGCTTAAGGTGTTACTGCTTGCTTGTAATAGACATTCAGGGTGCATTCGAGTGATTAGTAATTCAAAAAGGAGAGTAACCTTCTTTGATTTGTGGCTTATTAGCTGTTAAGTTCGCCTGCCTTGCAGTGGCATCGCTAAAACCATCTCTGGGGCTTCGCTGTGCTTTTAAATGAATAATTATGAGGCCTAATCAGGGTTTGCAACTCCTGTTCAAAAGTTTGTGCTTCAGCAATAAATGTCTGATCTTCCAGGAGCTGATGATTACCATTTTATTTTGCAGTGTTCAGCAAATGCCAAACGAGAGCAGTGCTATTGTTGGCAGTGACAGACTACTGATATTTTATTTGCTTTCTGAGGTCAATAGTTATGATCTCCAAGTAGTGGTATAAGAGTAATGAAGGGACTAGAAACATTTACTTGAATTTAAATTAAGTAAATAGCCCTGTATCAAGTTACCCCAATTTTTCTGGAGGTGCAGACTGTCCAGAACGTCTGAATAAAGCGGTGCTGTCATACAGTACCAGTCAAACGTCTGGACACACCTGCTTTTAACTCACTCTCGCATTTGCTTACCCTATAATAAAGGGTCTCAAGGCAATGAAGTAATGAATATCAAATTTTGCAAGAGAAGTGTTCAAATTTTCTCAAATTCGTGACTTTCCAAAGTAGCCCCTCCATTTCTTTGCTGACAGCATTGCGGACTTGCCATTCTTTCAAACCAGCTTCCCGATATAGCCAACAGACCTAAACCAGCTCTACGGGGTTTAGGTCGGGGGTTTGTGGGGGACCAGGTCATCATCTGTTGCACCGGTCCATCTCTTTGTTCACAAGATAATACTGCGCAACCACAAGGCGTGCATAGGATTGTCATCTTGAAAAACAAACGATTCTCTGTAGGTTAGTCCATACTTTTGACTGATACTGTGTGAGATTTTCTTGTCCCATCCACTGTCTGGCTAATTTGGGCACTTTTTTGTGACTGCCAGCAGGATTCCTGCCCTGATAATTCACCATGGCAACGCTGAGTCCTGCATTCCCAGATCCTGGGTGACGGGCCCTCCTTCGCACTGTGCTGGTTGTAGAAGGTGGTTGGGGGGTGTGTGACTCCTGTACGCGCGTCGGGGTAGCGAGTGATGAGTAGATGATTGCTGTTTTCGGACCCAGCGCACGTCTAACAGGATTCATGCTTAGATATTTCTATATGTCATCAAGAAGAGATTAATAAGACGTTCTTGGCATGTCGTCTTTGTTTAAAAATTCACGTTTGCCGTAAAACGAAGAGTCACCCCTGTTGTGCCTAATCAGCAAGCCTGGAAACATCGCAGAGCTGGTTGCCAAGGACTCTTTTTCTGTAATATTTATCTTGACGCTCAGCCAGTTCAGAATTCTCGCTGCTAGCGTGCCCTCTGTAAACAAAAACCAATAATGCTTCGTTTTTAGCTGAGAACATGTTCAATGTGAGGCTCGGTGAGCCTCATGCAATTCAAATAGTAAAACAAACGAAAAAACAAATGAATGCAAAACACTGTCAGATTAAAATGACTGGGAAGTGCATTGATGTGCTCACTACCAGCATATTTTGTCCAAATGTTTGTCAGGCCTGACTGTCACAGATTTAGCCTGTGAGTTGAAGCAGTTTATATAACTTTGTTATAAGCAACGTGGTTTCCTCTTAAGCAAGGATTTGACTTCAGGCATCTTCAATTCTCCCGTCTGCTTTTTGGCTTTTATGATGCTACTGAGAAATAGCAATCGTGCAGAAAACAATGTCTTGAAGCTAATTAAACTTAGGGGGGACGCGTAGGGTTCCTTATAGCCATACAGGAGCTGAATGCATGCGGATTTTACGCCATACAGCTCGTGCAATCAAGAAACAGCTCACTTAAAAAAATAAAATGAAGAAATACCCAGTCCCCACACAACCTCCATATCTGGCTTTTTTTCTCCATTCTTTGAAATGCCTGAATTCTGCTGCATATAACATCACATATGAATCATTCACAGTCATCCCAGTGAAGCAACGTTCCGGTGCCTGACTCTGTCAGCATGATTAAAAGGGGATCGAATGGCATTGCATTCTTTTTAAGGTGGCTCATTTTTCAGTTTCATCTTTGATAGAAAACGTGCACTGAAGTCATTACACCTGGGGTGTTGATTACCTCGCCCGGCTCCCTCTACT